GTGAGACGTTTGTGATAGGGCGGCAATGGGATAGGAGGGTAAATAGTAGATAGGTAGGCCAGGACAGAAAGAGAACTGATAGTGTAAGCGTTTTCAGCAGAACGTTTGTAGAGGGATTGGCTTCACTTGTCTCTTTGACGAGTTCGTAGCTTGGTGCGGCGAATAGCAAAACTCACTGATGATGCCGACTACGATGACTTCATTTGTCTCTTTGACGAGTTCGTATCTTGGTGCGGAGAATGGCAAGGCTCACTGATGATGCCGACTACGAGGTTTGTCGAGGGATTGGCTTCACTTTTCTCTTTGACGAGTTCGTAGCTTGGTGCGGCGAATGGCAAAACTCACTGATGATGCCGACTACGATGCCGGCGAAGCGTTTGAGAATGTATCAAGTCCATTGTCAGATGCTGGGAATCATGACAACTACTATGGCAGACGACTTCGGACTAGGTGTGTTCTATAGTCTCCCTGAAAACAAGACCAAGTTGCGACGAGGTAAATCCACTTCTAAATATTTTAGTTAATATTAAATAAAATAATAAATAGATTGCATCAATGTTAGTGTTAGCTGCGATAAGCAATTTACTGAATGTCAACGGTAGGGGTTAAAATGTATAAAATAAAAGATAAATATCAAAGCTATGAAGGAAATCTGAGGTTCGGAGAATTCCCAAATGATAACCTGTCACATGATTTTACATTTCGACAGAAAAGTTTGATCGTAGGAATTTGTGAAATGGTCTCACCGAAAGCCCAAGGAGGATTACAGCGGAGTGAAGACTGTTAGAATGTGCGGAGCAGTCTTTTGCTTACTGACTTGTGACCCCGATGAACTTGTGCTGTTTTCGTCTGTAGTATGACAAACATCATTAACGCAACAATCCAAACTTTACGCAATAGCGCAAAAATATATTAAGCCAAAAGAAAAGGTGGCCTGCATCAACCTTAGTCACTTTTTAATACAGCTAACATAGTGATCTTAATGAGGCATCCTACGATTTGGTTGGCCGACTCAAGCTTACTATACATGCTTGCAGTAAACTTAATAACTGTATCTCTACATAGATCAACTGTGTAAAATCTTCGAATGTTAATTCGTGTTTAGATAGGTGTTATTGCTGATTGTGTGTATGCATCGTTCATGTCATGAGAGGTTTGATAGCCCTGGCTAATCCAGTCACATGACTAGGTTTGCAGTAGGCGACCTTATGTATTATTCTAGTATAATTTTTGGCGTTATTTCCTAAATTATGCAATTTTGCTCTGATGATGGCTGCCACAGTACAGACGAAGGTTCATCGAGGGTTGCAGGATGGTGAACGAAGGACAGTCTTCCCTCAGCAGCAATCCTTCTTCGTTTACCGATGAGAACATTTCACCAATATCTTGCAACTAAGTTCTTTGAAATAGAAAATCAATTTTAAAAGATAAATTTTATATAAAAACTAACTAATAAGGAATATGTTAAAAGAGCGTTTAAAGATAGGTTCTATACAATAACTTATTTTCTAAGCAAACTTCTTAGCCACCAAGCACGAAATGAATTTGCAAACAAAAGTAAAATATTTAATAACACCAACCTTCATCCAGAGACAATTCGCTATGAATTAAAGAAGCAGCAAGCAAATTATCTTGTCCGTCTGATACTTTAGAAATGTCAGGAGTGGTTGGTTGATCATCCTGAATTTCACATATCTCTCCATTTAAAGTATTGGATACAGCAGACTTGCGCATAACCTCGTCATCATCGTCATCGTCTTCTTCCTCTTCATCCCCTAGTGAGAGATGAGTAGAGAACATGTTTGGCGCCAGAGCCGAAGTCTCAATCAACTTGTCCCTCGACAGCTGACCATCATCGCCGTTAAGCCCTACTGATTCCACAGCTACAGTCTCTAATTGTTCCTGATCTTGGTCATGATTATGTAGATGTGATGTCTTTTGGTCATCAATTGAAACAAAATCAAGCTCTCTGTCTGCACCACTCTCTAGATGGCTAGACTTAGCAAGCCCATTATCTAATGAATCAGTGACATTTTGAGTACCTCTTGACATCCAACGCCTTTCTAGCAGGGCATCACTTTGTCCGCCGTTCTCAATCTCGCCATTACAGCCATTGGCAGAACAATCAATAACAGGTACGTCGGACTCATGGCCAAACACCGTAGCAACCCGAACATTTGCTTGAGTCGAGGCGCGTGTCATTACACGATCACCAACTGAATCGTGGATGATGTCATTACTAACAAATGGCTCGGGAACGCTGGACGAGTCGCTATTCGCCAACAAATCAGGTCCCGTATGGGAGGAAGCACGTAGACAGTTTGGAGTTGACTTGGAGTTCACTGAGACATTTGAGTCTTCAATATCAAAGTCCATTGCCTCTTTATGTTCCTCCATACACCGCCAAAGTATATCCGGGTGGTTCCATATCTAAGAAATATAAGAAAAGTTTGTTAATCCATGTCAATGCCAATTTATTTATTTGCAGATGAAATATACATGCTATTTCAACCAATGTAATATATATTTACACGATACAATTTATAAAAGTATAGACAAACTCTGGTTGAAATATTTAGGAACCATTATAATATGCGCAAAAAGGTCAGAAATACAGAACTATCATAAGTAAAAGTGGGTTGACCTCGTTTTCACAACTTGGTGTTGTTGTCAGGGCACTAAGTAGAACGCACCTTATCCAAAGCCCTCTGCCATATTAATTATCATAATTCCTAGCATCAACTCGTGCACTTGGTACATCCTCAGACGCTTCGCCGGCATCATCAGTGAGTGTTGCCATTATTCGCATCAAGCTACGAATTCGTCAAAAGATAAAAGTGAAATCAGTCCCTCAACAAACGTTCAGCCGAAAACGGTTATACTATCACTCCACTTTCTGTCCTGGCCCATTAATCAATTCTTTACCACCTTATCCAGTTATCGCCTTATTACAACGTCTGACTTGTTTATATGTGCCTTTTATGGAAAATTTAATGTGGTCTCATTACACCTGTTATTATCCTGGCTCCCTCTCTCTCTCTCGATTAGTCCGACTCTGGTCTCATATCCGAATCTCCACATGGTCCCGTAAATCCATTTCTTATATATTATTCTTGAACGATTTTGCTCGGTTCCGATCTTAGTGTGCGTTTTATTCTCGGCCTTATTTCTCAAGGGCTTATAAACACTTATACTGCCGCTTGACCAAGCAGAGCGGCTAGGCTCTGATTCGCATGCTTGCCGATATTAAGAATTGCCTTCACAGCTCCTTTAAAATGACTGGCCTTCCTTGAAATTTAAGCTTGCCCTGTGACCCAAGGGCACTCGTGGCAATGTGGCCGAGTGGTAAATGTGTCAAGGTCACATGATGAAGTGTCACGGTTCAAATCCCGCTGGGGATATTGTTGTGACTTATGCAAGGCGGAAAATGAAGTCGACACTAGATAAAAACAACTTTGGGGAAAGCAAGACGTTGTAAAATTCAATGGAAACGTCAGCTCTACTCATATTATTGTAGAGAAATTCTACTACCAGTGCATAATACCTTAAACGAAATAGAGGGAATACATATCATGTAACTGATTTACTGATAGTATCGAAAGGTTGCTAATGTACGAAAAATCTTGTAGCAGCCGGATCTCGATAATAGAACATAATTATATTGAAAAAAATATAATAAAAGAAAGTGTGAGGTTTATTTTAAGCACTGTTTTTATACCACACTTCCTTAAAAATTCGCCGATCTTTTTGAAGGAAAGATAATGTCAAAATTAGGATATAGGAAATAGTCTCAGCTTGTTTATCTTTGATTAAATGATCTCTGTCTGTAAACTTACTCCTCAGTAAAGAGATATTATTCTCAATAAGCACCAAAGGTTAATTATTTTCCAGAAATAAATTTATCAACCGTTCCAACTCTTTAGTCAAGTGTTTACTATATTATATTTTTTAATTCTCTTTTGTCTAAATAAGAGTATATAATAAGTAAGATAGAGCCGGACGAAAGCTCAGCCCGTTTTCACATGAAAAGAGGGAGATCTCGTGTACTGCATCAATCTCAACGTCGTATAAAAGCTAAACGGCTGCAATACAACGGGATTCAACCGATCTTTTCTGATGAGATCAACCTTAGAATCTCATTTTTACACACTTTCACACGAAATGAAAATCGCAACAATAATTTTATCTCAGGAGATTCATCGAAACCCAGTTATTCTTAATATCTACATGCGTCAGGAGTAAAACACACACTATAACCGGAATCGGGTGAAATTAGACAAAAAATAAAGATAAGAAACGGATCTAAGAGACCACGAGGGAGATCCGAATAGGAGTCCTTATTTGGATTACCCGATCGAGAGGAAGGAGGTTAGGGTGATTAGCAGGTGTGATGCGGCCACTCTGAATTTGCCAAAATAGGGCACACATTTTGACGAGTGGAATATAAATTATTCAGAAGTTGTCATAATGCGGAAGTTACATAAGAGAGTAAATAGTTGATAAATGGGCCAGGACAGAAAGAGGAGTGATAGTCTAACCTTGTTCAGAAGAACATTGGTCAAGGTATTGACTTCACTTGTCTCTTTTAACGAGTTGGTAGCTTGGTGCGAAGTATAGCAACACTCACTGATGATGCCGACTACGATGCTAACGAAACCTGTGAGAATGTACCAAGACGGCGATCTGATACCTGGGAAGTATGATAACTACAATGGCAGAGACTTCGGATAAGGTGTGTTCTAATACGTCGCTCTGGCAACTGTGGCCATAACAGGGGCAATATCATCTTGGTCTTCATATCTTATCATAGATAAAAATTGAAAAATAACGAGCAAACATATAAGACGAGAAGTAAATCTATGAAATCAAAGGAGTAAGTAGACAATAAATGAATAAATATAACGCTTATAAACGTCAAGATTCAAATTTCCAGATGACCTGGAGCAAGGCGAAGCTAAGGAAAATGATTGTAAATAATCAGATAAATGAATTCATACAAAATATTAAATAAAATTAATTTAAGAGTTTATTCATTGCGATTTTAAATACAGATTTCCTCATATATAATTCAATTAGAAGAGTTCAGGGGCATATCGAAATGATAAAATGTATCCATGAGTAATATTTATAATTCAACTTAGAAAGAGACTTAGTACACATGACGGAAACAAGTAAAACTTGTTTTTGGATCAATTCATCATTTATAAAACAAATCTGACAGAAAATTGGAGGATTGCTGAAATAATCATTGTACGATCGAAAATAGAATTTCGTTTATGGGAAAAGTCCATTGAATGAAACTTATGTCGTCTTAAATTGTTATCCATTTGCTATTATGTTAGTGACGGACTCATTTATTATTCTTATGTAAATAGAATTTCAAGACTACCAGTAACTCAGTAATATGAGATGTATTCACCCTATTTCGTTAAAGGTGATGAAGGACTTAGTAGAATTTTCCAACAATTATATGAGTATAGTTGACATTTCTATTGAATTTTGCATAGCTTTCCAAAAGTTGTTATCATCCAGGGTGGACTGGAGTTTAGATCTCACATAGGTCTTATCAACACTCCCAGCGGGAGTCGAATCGTCCTAGTGCAGAATATGAGCTTGACACGTTAACCACTCGCCCACATTGCCACGATTGTCCTTTAGTCACAGCCCTACTACCAGTCCTTCATCACCTTAAACGAAATATGGTGAATACATCTCATATTACTGATTTATTGGTAGTCTCGAAACTCTACTTATATACGAAAAATAAGTAACGTAGTTGATTGTTATTTCAAATATACCTTTGCTCCATCGACAATCCCACCTAAGAATGTGATATGACAAAAGGTCTGGCTTTCCTTGAAATTCACATTTGCCCTGTTACCTAAGAGCACTCATGGCAATGTGGCCAAGTGGTTAAGGTGCCAAGCTCACGTTCTGCATTGTCACGATTTGACTTCTGCTGAAGGTGTTGATAAGGACTATGTAATTTTGAAAATGCAGTCCACTGAATAAGAAAAACTTTTGGAAAAGCAAGGCTATGTCAAATTCAATGGAAACGTCAGCTCTACTCAAAAAATTGTGGAAAATTTTACTACTAATCCTTCATCACCTTAAACGAAATAGGGTGAATACATCACTTATTTAATACCCTAAGGCACCCGTATCAATAGCTAAATAGCTACATTATTTTACTATTCAAGTTATTTATTAATAAAAATATCCTAAATGAGACCTGCATACCATATTGGCAGGAAACTGCCAATAAATTTCAGCAGCTATTGAGTTTAGATCTCTATTTATTTTCTAGAAAATACCATACTCTTATTAAAATAATCAGTATTTTAACATCAGCAGAAAATAAATGAATCTCATGAACAGTAATACTAATTCTACTAAAAACCACTCGTCAACCCTTGCCCGACAGACAGCAAGTACCAACTAACCTTTAGCGACTATGATAGAAGCAGCTATTAAAGACTTAGGGCATAGTCCAAACCTAAATTAATGTTGTCAACATGACACAAAAACAAGCCATTTAATTCAATTCTAATGAAGTTCACCAAACCCAAAAATATTTCATATATATGAGAAGCAGTGC